TTTTTATTTGCAAAAGATAAACCGAAAGTGGTCCCTACTATTTGTTTATGTCTTTGTTCGCATCCATTGGGGGTGTGCCATTGGGGGTAAACTTGAACTGTCCTACTATTTAAAAACTGTATTCCATAAAAATCATTGCACATGACCAAGGAGACTGGAGAACAGCCTTTACCAAAGGTGTCATGTGCTTTGAAGACCCTTGCAGGACGCAAGGGAGAAAAGTGCTAAGAGGAAGGCACGCTTGGCAAACCCTCACCTTGATAAACTCCCACCTGGAAACCTATGTCCCCACTGTGGAAGGACGTGTGGATCCAGAATTGGCCTCCACAGTCACTTACGGACTCATTGTTAAAACAGTGTTCATGGAAGACAATCTTACTCAGCTACAAGTGATCGCCGAATAAGAAGACCACGATGAAGAAGGCCCTCCTTCAAGGTAGTAAAAAACCATGTCACATGGTTTTTTGGGGGGGGGGAAATGAACCAGCCAAAGGTCCTCTAGTCATTCCTGTTCCTGGGGTGACAGGTATTCATTTATTAATTGTCCATACAACTTTTTAAGCAATATTGGAACCCCTTATCCTGACAACAGTTTTACAGGTGAAACTCGAAAAATTAGAATATCGTGGAAAAGTTCATTTATTTCAGTAATTCAACTTAAAAGGTTTGTTATAATTATGATGATTATGGTGTACAGCTAATGAAAACCCCAAATTAACAATCTCAGAAAATTATAATATTGTGAAAAGGTGCAGTAGCTATTCAATCCATAACACCTGCAATGGGTTCCTGAGCCTTTAAATGGTCTCTCAGTCTGGTTCAGTAGGAAGCACAATCATGGGGAAGACTGCTGACCTCACAGTTGTGCAGAAAGCCATCACTGAGACCCTCCATAAGGAGGGAAAGCCTCAAAAGGTAATTGCAGAAGAAGTTGGATAGTTCCAAAGTGCTGTATCGAAGCACATTAATGGAAAGTTATGCGGAAGGGGAAAGTGTGGAAGAAAAAGGTGCACAAGCAGCAGGGACGACCATTTAAAGGCTCAGGAACCCATTGCAGGTGTTATGGACGGAATAGCTACTGCACTTTTTCACAATATTCTAATTTACTGAGTGTTAATTTAGGGTTTTCATCAGCTGTACGCCATAATCATCACAATTATAACAAATAAAGGCTTGACATATCTCGCTTTGCATGTCATGAGTCTATCTCATATATTAGTTTCACCTTTTAAGTTGAGTTACTGAAATAAATGAACTTCTCCACGATATTCTAATTTTTTGAGTTTCACCTGTAAATTTGGAACAGTTATGAAATAATGAATCTTAGGGCAGAACTCAGGCATCCTGGGTTGCAGATCACTGCTTCATATCTCATGGACAGGGCTTTTTTCAACCAGAACTCAGTTCCTGCACCTCTCATGTGGCACCATTGCTATCCTAAGAGAATGATGGAGATGTTCATGGTGAGTTCTGTCACTTCTTTTTCTAGAAAAATAGCACTGCTCACAGACTTCACACCTACTCTCCACAAAATATTCAACCGTGTTTCCATTAAAGAAATGATTCTACAACATGGAGACCCCTTTCCTGAGAATACTGCTACATGTTGGAGTTTATCCCACCTTCGTGAGTGGAGATGGTCCCTTCCGCACAGGGAAGGCAGTCATAGCAGCAGAGTGGCTTTGCTTCTTGAACCACCTTGGCAGATCCAGGACTGCAGCTTTCCGTGCACCTGGAAGGAGGCAGGGTCTAAGCATAAAGACAAGGGGGCGCCAAGGAAAATAGGTTAGGCTTATTTTGTCATGGAAATGAGGCCACAAAATAACAACAACAACAACAACAACAATTTATTTATACCCCGCCCATCTGGCTGGGTTTCCCCAGCCACTCTGGGCGGCTTCCAACAATTAAAATACAGTGGTCTGTTAAACATGAAAAGCTTCCCTAAACAGGGCTGCGTTCAGATGTCTTCTAAAAGTCTGGTAGTTGTTGTTCTCTTTGACATCTGGTGGGAGGGCGTTCCACAGGGCAGGTGCCACTACCAAGAAGGCCCTCTGCCTGGTTCCCTGTAACTTGGCTTCTCGTAGCGAGGGAACCGCCAGAAGGCCCTCGGTGCTGGACCTCAGTGTCCGGGCAGAACGATGGGGGTGGAGACGCCCCTTCAGGTACAGGCCTTATTTCGGCATGGAAATGAGGCACAAGGTATTGGCACAAAAATGGAAGCAAGAGGAATTACCGACGAAAAAAGAAGGGCAGATGAAATTGATGGACTATGCAGAATTAGATAAATTAACAGGAAGGATTCGAAACCTGCAGAACCAGAGATTCTTAGAAGACTGGAGTAAATATATGAACTATTTGAAAAGCAATTGTAATGAACAGAATACGCTAGTAGGACTGCAAGAAGTTTTGTAAGGAGGACTATTTGAAATATTGCAAGAAAGAGTAATAGAGAAATTAAGAAATTAAGTGATAAAGAATGAAAAATCATCAGAGGTGTTGACGGAAGTCTAAAACCTTGTATAAGATAAGAAGTTATGTTATATGTTTGTTGGAAATATGTTTTAAAAAACCAATAAAAATGTGTGTGTGTGTGTGTGTGTGTGTGTGTGTATGGCAATGAGGTACAAGGTTGGGGAGGGCCACAATATTAATCAATTCTTCTAGCTATTCTAGCCTTATGTTTAGTTAAAAGCATCAATTAAAGTTGTGGCGCTCCACACCACATAGCTGCTAGCGGCCCAAGTGAATTCAGTGACATTCAGTGGCTATTTCCAGCTCCTGCAGGTCCACTAGCTGGGATAGTTCCTAAGACAGGGTTAGTCTGGACGCAGTTTTCTATGCTCTGATAACCTCCTGGTTGTACGATTCTTGAGCTACCCTTCAAGACCATCCAGAGGCTGCAGCAGGTGCGAACTGTAGGTACCGGGTTGTTCATTGTGGGGAAAGCCAAATGGAACGACATTTCACCAATTCTCTGATAATTTTTGGTATTGGAAAAGAAGAGTGAGTGTTAAAAGAAATTTGTACTAAACCGGCAATCAGGACATTTTATTTTTTTTAATGTCAGTCTGATGCAGAATTGTGGGGAACTGAACTCAAGACTGGAATAATGAAAATCTGAAATACATGGAAATTGAGAGAGTCACTGAAATTTGCATAGTACTAAACCTCCAGTAACTACACAGGCTCCATGTTAGCTACTGAAGCCAATTTATCAAATGGGTACATATGATAAATGGATCAGGACCTAAATTCTCAGAAGACTTCAAGGTAAACACTGAGATCCATAGGATACAATCCAATTACAGACCCATTGATTAGTGTAGAATATTTCCCAGCAATGTGAAACAGAGCCTTCACTGTTGCAGCACTGTAGATAAGGGAATTCATATGTCTATTTTCTCTGTACTCTGCCCTGGGCATTTAATGAATGAAGGGAATAATAATGGCATAATAAATTATTATTAAGAAGCGTTTCTAGTTTAATTAGGGCAGGGGTTGGAGGAAATGTGGGCCACTTCATCTAGTTACTAAAATAAGCAACCTCCTTACACCACAAACATCTGAATGCTACATGTAAATTTTAACAGGGACCTACTACTAAATGAAATAAATCCTGGATGCTGATGTTGAAAATATGAATCCCTGTGATTCACATGTGTGGAGTAAATAATGTGTGTGTGTGGGGGGGATAAACTCACTCTCCAGTACCCCCAGTTGCAGTTAAACTCACAATGTGAAGCAGCATAGTGAAGTGTTAGGAATGTAGGCTGTTAATACTGTTAAGTAAGTTTAAAAAGTTTTACTTACAAAACATTCCAAAGGTCAGATTCATGCATTTATCCAAGCAGCAGCAAGGAGAACAAAGGCAGAATACTCAAGTAAAAAATACAGTATATTACAAACTTGTGTGCTAAGCTTGGAGCTTGCTTAGGCACATCCACCTTGGTCATTTACATGACATGGAGAGAGCTACATAGCAAGAAGAGAAGGCTTCACTTCCTCTTTCATTGGAAAAGGGGGGCTCGAGTTACCTATGCTCTGGTTGTAGTATTGTTGAGCTATCCTTCAATACAATACAGAACAGGGGTTGTCTTAAACCCTTCATGCACTAATTAGCATTCAATCATAGTTATGTTTGACTGCAATCTCCCACAGATGTTGACAGGCATGTGGAGGTAGACCATAATTAGAGCTGTTGAGGTGGGAAATACCATAGAAAAATAGATGAATTCTCTCACCTGTTTGAGCTCTTTGGGCCAAGCACCGGTATCCTGGTCGGTGGAGAACTGTAGATCTCGGGATCCCTGTCTGTTGATACTCCCCAACTTCATTCTAAGGATGGACTTGTTGGGAAACTTCACCCAGTTCACAATGTCCAAGTCAGCTGCCAGTTCCCCATTCTCATCCAAATATACTCCATCCATGGAAGAATTGTAAAACTGGGAGTTTCCCAGGAAAGGGTGGAGCTAGAATGGCAGAGAAAAGAGTATCATCTATAATAAGGGGAAATTATACTGGCTATCCAATTCTGCTTAGAAGAGAAGACTCCCTGGAAAAGACCCTGATGTTGGGAAAGATTGAGGGCACAAGGAGAAGGGGACGACAGAGGACGAGATGGTTGAATACTGTTCTTGAAGCTACAAACATGAGTCTGACCAAACTGCAGGAGGCAGTGGAAGAAAGGAGGGCCTGGCGTGCTCTGGTCCATGGGGTCACGAAGAATCGGACATGACTAAGCGACTAAACAACAACAACAATCCAATTCTGCCCATTTCATGCTTAGATCTCCTTTGACCTGAGGCTGGGTGCAGACTCAAGTAGCTGTGTCTTTAAGCTTCTGCTTGGGAAAGTGATATTTCGCAGACCCATTTTTGAAGCGACCTGAATTGGTCCCTAAAATTTTTACCTCCCCACACTACACATGTTCTCAGACAAATCCAAGTAAATGATTCTGGAATGGTATAACTGATTGTCACGAATGAAATACCTGCCATGCCAGTAGCCTTTGAACTCCCAGTTTGTACTTTGCCCTCTGCTTAGATCTAGATGAATATGCAGCATTTAAGGCACGAGCCACAGCTTGGACAGTGTTGTAGATCCTGTAGCTGTCTAGAGAGAGGATCCTTTCCAGATCGTCTTGGGGAAGCATCTCCAGTTTCTCTCTCTCTCTGCATCTTGTCCAGCCTTTCACTGAGAATGCATGCTTTGAATAGGAGCAATTAAAAGCTTCCTCCCAAAACTTTTTAATACCAGCGAGGAAGGGTAGAAAACCACCGTATTTTGCCCGTTTATTTGTCTCCAAAAAGAAAGAAAGAATGCTGTGGATGTGTTGGAAAGATAAGCCACTGTAATTTAACTCCAAGGAGATGTCCCACATAGCCGTGGTGATCAAGACTTTCCCTGTCTTGGGTTTTAAGAGGTTGAATGTTTTTTCTATAATTATGATTCCCAGGGATAAATAATTAGTTTCTACATAGTAAAGAAATACATTGACTTGTCTCCACTTTTGGAATGGTAGAAAACTGATATTCACAGGTTGATTGTCAACTAGGGGGATGCTCTGTGAGATGGGAACACAAAGGCCATTCTCAGTGAGTAGAGGCAGCAACATCTTTAAGAATCTCTCTCCGTTGTCGGTGTCTGGAGCAAAGAGACCAACGAACGTCCATCTGAAGTGCTGGAGCAGCTTGACAATCCCTGAATATTGGGCTTCTTCTTTGGGGACCATCCGGTAGAAAAAAGGAAACTGCCTCTTATCACTGAGAACTTGGGAGACAAATGCATAACTGACCTGGCAAGAGAAGTAAGATAGTTGACTTGTTTTGTTTTGGATCAAAGCCTTTTATTATTATTACTATTTACCTTGTAAATGCAAATCTTTGTGCTGAGGCAATGACTTGACACGTAAGATCAGATGGGATTTTAATCTCTAGGAATTCCCTGGGTCCCTGTTTTTATTTGTTCTTAATAGGCTTTAATACTATGATTTTACTACGCTTTGTTACTTTATTTGCATATATAGTTCATTAATTTCATAAAATGCATGCACTGCTTGAAACAACAGCTCTCAAAGCAGTTTATGAAAACTTCGAAAATCAAGAAAAATTACAGCAATACTTTAAAATATATGAAGGTTAAAATAGTAAAACAGGTTAAAATTACCTCAACCTTTAAAGCATCTGAGTAGGCTTCTTGTTGTGGTATGCCACTTAGACACTTTCAAAATGTTATGCTATCTATATCTATCTATCATCATCTATCTATCATCTATCTATCATCTATCTATCTATCTATCTATCTATCATCTATCTATCTATCTATCTATCTATCATCTATCTATCTATCATCTATCTATCTATCTATCTATCTATCATCTATCTATCTATCATCTATCATGTTTAATGTGGGCAAAACGTATCTACTTTCCCAAATATTTAGTGGCATGGCCACCTATACTAGAGACCTCGTTTATTCCCCTTTATTCCCCATGCAGAGAGTGCTGAGAACCACCATTTGACATGACTTCAAAGAGTGAAGCTTCCCAGCTGAACATTCCCACTCTTCCGCTGTTTTTGCCTGAAACGACAGCCCAGCTGTTTACTGGCATTCATTCCCACATCTTTTCCTCTTAGGTAAAGGTAAAGGTACCCCTGCCCGTACGGGCCAGTCTTGCCAGACTCTAGGGTTGTGCGCTCATCTCACTCTATAGGCCGGGAGCCAGCGCTGTCCGCAGACACTTCCGGGTCACATGGCCAGCGTGACAAGCTGCATCTGGCGAGCCAGCGCAGCACACGGAACGCCGTTTACCTTCCCGCTGGTAAGCGGTCCCTATTTATCTACTTGCACCCGGGGGTGCTTTCGAACTGCTAGGTTGGCAGGCGCTGGGACCGAACGACGGGAGCGCACCCCGCCGCGGGGATTCGAACCGCCGACCATACGATCAGCAAGTCCTAGGCGCTGAGGTTTTATCCACAGCGCCACCCGCGTCCCTAGATCTTTTCCTCTTACAATTAATTAAATAGAAAAAAAGAAAGAGGCTTAAGCCTGTGATCCTAGACACACTGTCCGCTATCATCCTAAATCCTCTTTCCCTGTCAGTGGCTATTGGTTTTGTTCCCATATGTGTTCATGTGGTCTGAACCGGCATTGACTGATCGGGCGCAAGACTCTGGATTGCTCATGTCGACCTGGGATGCTACAGTAGCGAAATACAGGTTAATCCAATACTTGGGACATTAGAAAAATTCCAATATTTGTCACTGAGGGCCCCCCTCCCCCCATTTAATGTATCCATCATAGTCAGTTCATCAGTATCATTTAATTCCAATACCCCCCCCCAAAAAAAACCACAATTGTTTGCGACAGCTTTTTAAAATAAAAACCCTAACATCCCAGGTCTTCCTCATTTTGAAGAGGAAGATATTATGTTAACACTATGCAAATTATACATAGCTTTTGAGTTCTCTAGAATTAGACTCAGACAGAAAATGCCACACCTCTCTCCATTCCTACCTGTGGGATGTTATAGATACTCAGAATCCTGGAAATCTGGATGGAGTTGTGAGACTCAGCCCCTTCAAGAACAGCAACCAAGTTATTTTGTCCTCCACAGTTGTAGTTTGGAACATTCACCTGCCTAGAAGAGAGTTGGTCTACCAAGGCTTCGTACGTCACCCTTCCATGAAAAAAGTTATCATGGATATTATAGCCCAGAGTGGTGTTGGCTAAGAGCCTGGAGTTCTGATTGATCTCCTCAATGGCAAACAAGAGAGACAGAAGTTTCCAGTACTTTGTGGCTGCTTTACTGCCAAAATAAAATGATCAAGAATAGTTGCAATAATTGTAGGCCAGGGACAATAAACACACTTCCAAGAAGAACAAAGTGTGATAGAAAAGTGCATTTAGGCATTGTCAAAGTACACAGATCAAACCTATCCATTCTTAAGTAAATCAGCCCTGAGTGCTCACTGGAAGGACAGATCGTGAAGCTGAGGCTCCAATACTTTGGCCATCTCATGAGAAGAGAAGACACCCTGGAAAAGACCCTGATGCTGGGAAAGATGGAGGGCACAAGGAGAAGGGGACGACAGAGGACCAGATGGTTGGATATTGTTCTCGAAGCTACCAGCATGAGTCTGACCAAACTGCGGGAGGCAGTGGAAGACAGAAGTGCCTGGTGTGCTCTGGTCTAGGGGGTCACGAAGAGGCAGACACGACTAAATGACTAAACAACAACAACAACAACAACATAGTACACAACCCAATCAGTATGAACGCTCATGAAATAGCAAGTGTCATATACTTCCCCGCTAAACATTGTGGAAACAGATCAGAATGAATACTCAGTCAAGAGGTAATCTGGAAGTGACCCTCCAGTGTTTCCCTAGCTGATACGTTGTTAAAAGGTCATAGTGGATTTGGTCCTACTTTCCAACAGAAAACATGGCATTGGGCAACATTTGCTTATTTAATAAGCAGCTATTGGGATCACCCGGAAAGAGTGCCCTGCCCTTTTCCACTTTCAAAACCAAGAAAGAACTGCTTTGTCTTACATTTCTATACTTTACAGTTGGAAGGGGACCTTGCTAATAACAACATCTGAAAAGACAAGCCATGCAGTCAATGGTGCCTCAGCACTGATGCATTGCCGAATCTCTCCCCAAAGACAAAACAGGACAAGGATTAACAGGATCACAAAAGAGCCCCGTCATTGGGAATATTTGGGGTTCATTCAATTGTCAGCTTGTGGAGCAGCAGTAACCAGGTTGACTTACAGTCTGAAGCTGGTAGAGGGAGACTTATTGAAGATGTATGAATGAAATAAAGCTCTTGTCGCAGAAATGACCACACTGATGAGGTGATCTCCTGGCTTGTAATAACTGAATGGGTCAATCCATTCTCTCTCTAAAGACAGGGGGCATTTCACTTCCACCATTCCAAAATCTGCGTAGGGCTGAAGGAGCAAAAGGAGCAAAAGTGGTATCATTTCTTGTCTGCCTTGAACACTCCTCTCCCATGGAACTGCTCCTCTCAATTGGAAAATTGTAGATGAAGCCAAACTAGATGATTTAGCTGAGATTCCTGCATTGCAGGGGGTTGGGCTCGATGACCCGTGGGTCCTTTCCAACCTTACGATTCTATGATTCTTTAAGCAAAGTTCAGTGGCTTTCCTAACATTGATGGAGCCCAGCCAAGACTTACAATCTGAAGGGGATGGAAGTCAACCTCACACCTGTGTGCTCTGTACAAAACTCTCACCCAAGCTCTCAGTAGTAAAGGAGATACTTATGCACCAGCCCTTTGCAGCTCAGATACAAGATATTACATCATGGGGCTCTTGAATCAGATGTTTACTTCAGTGGGCTCCAAGGCAATATTTGGACAAATCCCTGGAGCTTTGTTGAGAAGATTAAAAAAACTGCTATGATTTTGATAATTATAAGGGATGAGTCTGACCTTCTCGAAACATGAGTCTGAACTTCTCAAAGCTACAAACATGAGTCTGACCAAACTGCGGCAGTGGAAGACAGGAGTGCCTGGCGTGCTCTGGTCCAGGGGGTCACGAAGAGTCGGATATGACTAAACGACTAAACAGCAACAAAGGGAAAGAAAAACTGACCCCGCAACTTCCTGATTTTTCAATGTAGCTCCATATTTTTCAGGGGAAAAACAATGCTGTCCAGAGTTGTAAAGACTGTGGAGACAATAATTGGGTGCACTCTTCCCACCTTGGATCAAATCTATGCTTCCAGGTGTCATAAGAAAGCTGCAGAGATAGCGCAGGATAGTGCACACCCCAGAAATGATCTCTTTCAGCTTCTGCCTTCTGGAAGAAGGTACAGGGTTATAAAGACTAGGACTAGCCGCCTGAGAAACAGTTTTTATCCAAATGCGATTTGGGTTTTAAATGCAGTGTAAGGTAGTCTCTGTGGGAGTATATTGTATTTAATTATGGGGTATCAGAGTTTTTAGGGGGTTAACCAGGCTGGGATAGCTGGGATAGCAGGCTTGTTGGTTTTTGAATGTCTGATGTAGATTTTTTCAATTTCGTTGTTCTGTATGGGACAATGACAATCTAAGATTATTGTATTGTATTGTATTGTATTGTATTGTATTGTATTGTATCGTATCGTATCGTATCGTATCGTATGCAGGTGCAGGACTACTGTAAAACACGTTGCAGAAACCACCAGATGTGGCTCCAGACTCTGAGGATATCAGAGAAGTCAGCTGAGCATGTCAAAACTTGGTGAAAAACACATTCACAAGAGTCCGGATCAAAGGTTCCTTCTAGGACAGTGGTGGGAACATCCAGTTCATGGGCCAGTTTACACCTGCCAGGTCCTCCCCACTTGGTCTGCCAGACTGTTTTGGTCAAGCCATGCCCACCTGCTCTACACGAGCCCTTTTGTTGTTGTGGGGAAGTAACTTCCAGAGCAATCCAAGGGCACTGCCAAGGGTTTGCCAAAGTTTGCGTCTATACCGCAACCTCTAGAGAGGCCCCAAAGCACACTTCCATAAGAACACATAAAAATATTTGCAGGGCATTGCCATTCACATGGTGTGTCCCACATCATGTGATCAGTTATGTGGGCTGGGGCTTACCTGGGCCCAATATTTTATTCAAGTCGGCACCCCTGTGTCCTGAGAATACTGAGTTACTATGGCTTTATTAAATTGTATCATTTGTTTTGATAAATTTGTTCCCATTGTTCGCTTCATTTATATACTATTGTGTTTCATATTATAGTGACTGCAATGGGGTATTTTAATACTATTGTGATCATCCTGAGTGCTATGATTTTTGTAAAGCCATAATTAAAACTCAAACCTTGGAATGCTTGTGTGAACTAAACCTTTCTTCATAATAAGAAATTGTATGAAAATTTAAAATATTACTGGTGAAATAAAAAATTTAAGGTCATCTATCTATCTATCTACACACACACACACACACACACACACACACACACACCGTATATAGTTCATAAAGGTACAAACCAAGCACATACATAGATGTGTGGACATGTCTGGAGCAGCACAGGAGGACGGCCCTGAAACCATTTTGACTCCCAAAGTGGCCAAATGTTTTCTCTGCAAGGAGGGAAGAGGTGGGGGAGTCTCCCCATTGTCTTTTTGTTCACAAAGCCTCTCTTAAGGGTATGTCTGTGTATGAATAGGGTGATCCTGTGACCTGGCTCAGGAACTAAGTATTTGTCTTTACAAAAGACTGGCCAGGCTCCCCAGGGTATCCAATCAAGTAAACATTAACAGGTAACTTGCCAGACAGGAGATAAACAACGCACTCGGATTTCTGTTGTAGACCGCCTCTTCTGTGATATAGGTATGATGTTTCTGGGGATGGGTGATATAAAATGTCTATATAAGGGTGGGCACACCTTTGTTCAGGGTCCACCTTCTTTCCTGCATGTGAGGGGAGCACCCTGTTGCAACAGTTCAATAAAGACCAGGCTTACGAGCTGCTTTCCTTCTCAATCTTCTCTGCTTGGCCTCTGTTATTTTCTCTGACCGATGGAGAACCTACAAAGGACTCTATAAGGGCTCTTGTGTCCCCCATAAGGGAATAAGGGCAGATTTTTGTTTTTTACACTGGGAAAGGCCAGAGTACAACATAACTCCCCAAAACAAAAAAAGAAACAAACAACCCCCCCAACCCCATCAAACCACCTTAAAACGCTTCAGGAATGTAATTTTAAAAGTTATTTAAAATTATTTAAATATTTTTTCAAGAAACAAGATATAAGCATAACATTATCAAAACAATTGGTTCTGTACCTCTCGCGGAGCAGAAGACTAATACAACAATTTCTTCCATACATTATCATCATCAACAACATAATAAAACATGAAACATTAAAAACTTCCCGATACAGAAGATCAGCATCCAAACAAGAACAGAGACCAATGTGTCCCCAAAGTTATCAGCTTCCTGATAAACGCACAGTTGATGCATGCCAGTAATAAGGGTGTTCATTTGAATACTTTATAAAGGTATGCCTTTTTTTTCTTTTGCTGTGAGCAATTGTGGTACTACCCAAAGAAAAGTGGTAATTTCCTTGTGCCGTAAGGAGACTGTAATTGTTCATGACCTGCTTATGATCACAGGACTCATACACCGGATGACAATCACTTTAGAACAATTCTCTCTATATTCTTGCTTGGAGAAAAGTGCCATTTTATCATTAATTCTTTGACTGGTTCCATTTTGCGCTTATATTTTACTTCTATATATCTTAAGAGGATGATAAATAAATTCCTGTCTATAATTACCAACTTTTCAGATTTTTGTAATTCCCCTCAATTTGGCTGATTTGAAGTATGTCAGTTAGGTTGTTTTATTTGGTTTTTTAAGAAAATGAATGTAATAAAAATATAAACTGTTAAAACATTATAAAATAGTTATATAATATTATAAAATAGTTATATAATATTATAAAATAGTTATATAAAATATTATAGTTATATGAAAATACCAATAAAACCGATTTTCAAAAAGAGTAGTGCTAATAAGGTTATCAAAGAAAAAATGTGCAGAGTTTAAGAACAAATATATACAATAAAATGACCTTTCCAGATGGCTTTGTCTATAAATTGTTCAGAAGTTAGGTGCTGCCATGCTAAAATATCAATTCCATGCCATGGAACATTCCATGCTAAAACATCAATGGACATTCTATGGGATTACAGTATCAGTTCCACAGTTTGAAGTGGTGGAGTGTGCACATAAGGAAGAATGGGATCCTTAAAGGAATGTGATCCTTAAAGTGGCTCCCCAAAATTTCTCTTTTGAAACTATTTATAGGGGAAACCTACATGGAAGACTTTTGTATCTCTAAGAAATAGACAGTGGTTTGTATTATTTTTCCTATCTTACTGGCACTTCGGCGATTAGCAAGGGATTTTGGCTTAATTTGGTGCTTACCTGAGACATGCCGGAATTGAGTTCCGGCTAAAAGAAGCTCTAAGTCTCTCCATTATCGATCCCTGGAGTTCCCAATAACTGAATGGGGAAGTTCGGTTCATGCTCTGTAATTTTGCTAAAAGACTTTTTGTGTATGCTGTCTATTAAATGAAAACATTGAACTTCCCTCCACTTGTGTTGTGATTGCCACTGAACCCTTGCATGTGGCAAAAGAGTATTCAACCCACAATGGACCTTCACCATTCCATCTCTTTTTGATTTTCACTGCAAATGTAAACTTCAGAGGTAGAGCATCTACTTGGCATGCAGAAGGTTCCAGCATCAATCCTCAGCATCTCTAGGCATGGCAACCAGTCACTGCAGACAGTACTTAAAGTTCGATGGACCAAAGCTCTGATTCAGTTTCCTGTGTCCTTATGAAGCTTGTATAATTTGCAGGCAAAAGCTCTGGAGGAGCACTGAAGATTCACATCAGGCTTTGGGGTACCTTCCTCAGCTCTCTGGCACACCAGCAGAATATCTTGCTGCAGAAATGTAAATGAAAGACTGTTGTTAAGCTGGCACGGTGGAATTGTCAGCATGGAGACCTTAGGAACTGGAAGGATCTAAGGAGCCATCAAGTCTAGCCTATTCTTCTGAGGCAGGGCCAACTGAACATCTGCATCACCCCACCACAGCTCAAGTCACATACAAGGGGCGCTACAATGAAGGAGAAGGTGTGTAATGGAGGGAGAATTGCAGGGCTCCAAATGAGGACTCATACAAGGAAATGGAGTCACATATTTTCCTTCCTGATCCTGTATATGGCCTTCAGGCAGACCCTGAAACTCTACCAGGGGGTAACAGAGGAAGCAAAGAGGGCATCACTCACCTGAAGTTGCTCTGGAGCCACCCTCTCGCTGGTTTCCTGAAGAAGCAGAAGCAGATCATTGGAAGTGGAAGAGACCCCCACCCAACCCAACCCAACCCAATCCCACTCCACTTGGCCTCCCTGAGGCTTGGCAACACTAAACCCTCCCCAGCACAGGCTCCATCAGTTTTTAGCAGCCTCTAGCGCCTTTCAAGAAGAAGAAGAGTTTGGATTTGATATCCCGATTTATCACTAATCAAAGGAATCTCAAAGTGGCTAACATTCTCCTTGCCTTCCTCCCCCACAACAAACACTCTGTGAGGTGAGTGGGGCTGAGAGACCTCAGAGAAGTGTGACTGGCCCAAGGTCACCCAGCAGCCGCATGTGGAGGAGACGCGAACCCGGTTCACCAGATTACGACTCTATCACTCTTAACCACTACACCACACTGGCTCTCTTGCTTATCTTGCAGGAAATCTGTCCTTGTGCGGATGCAGCCATGGCCACTTTCTTTGGTCTTGGTACTAAAACACCATTCACATAGTTTCTGGGCACATCAGGGGAGATGTTTATGGGTACCACCAGATTTTGATGGTCCACCAGTCCTCAGCTCATCCTCAAAGTCTAAAACAGTATGATCTCCTCCCTCCCTGCGTATGAATTCACAGTTTATACTCACTGATGTATAGTGTGATCCCTGCTACCATCAACACCATAAGAACAGCCCCAGGCACCAAGATGATCCACAGATAGAATACTTTTGAGGCTGAAATGGGGCAAAAGAGAGGATGATTAATGGGAACCCCAACAAAAAATACTTCTTCATGCAATATATAGTAGAACTATAGAATTTGCCCCCCATCGAAAGGCAGTGAGGGCCACCAATGTGGATGGCTTTAAAAGACAAATTCATGGAGGAGAACGCTATCAATGCCTACGAGCCACAACGGCTACGCTCTGCCACCACAGTTGAAGGCAGTATGCCCATGAACGATACTAGCAGCTGGAAATTGGAGGCGAGGAGAATGCTGCTTTGTTCAGGTCCTGCTTGGACTTCCCACTGGGGCAACTAGTCACCACAGCCAGCCTTCCTCCCCTCCTCACCAGGCTCCTCCCAGGCCAAGTCCAGAGGCTCCGGAAGTCCATCATGTTCCACATGGCACCGGAAGTGGTCCCTATCCTTGGGGTCAACCTTGATGCTGAGCCAGGCGTAATAGGTCCCATCTGAGTTGGGGACCACATCCCTGCGGAAGGTGTCCTGCTCCCAGACCTCCCCATCCTTCATCCACTTGGCGTTGATCTCTCTGGGATAGAATCTGTAGGCCTGGCAGATAAGGGTTTCCAGCCCATCATAACCTGCCATGCGTGTAACTTTCACCGTCGGAGGCTCTGCGAAAAGGACAAGGTTGTTGCTAAAACACATCTATCAGCACCCTTCCAGCCACTGAGAGGATGGATGCGCTCCTTTAAAGTGGGTGGAGCACTTAATGTAAATTTGACATTCACAGGTATATAGAAAGTGGGTGTTCAGGAACAGGAATTATCAGGACACATTCTAGCCAAGCAAAAATACTAAGTGGGTGTAAAGTCTTGGAAGGACACATTCGGGTGTCCTGGACCTGAGGTTTTCTAGTTGTGTTGAAATAAGTTAGCAAAATATCCCACCAGCTGAAGGATCCCCAAGAGATTAGGAGCTCCTGAGAATGGGATTCCGTTGCGACAAAAGGCAGTAATTGGCATTTCTGCACCTTGCATAGTGAGCCTTCTTAGGGCTTCAGGGAAGAGCATCACTGGGTCTCCATAGCAGAACTGGAGTCAGATCTCTCTGAACCAGTTGACTTATCTGTTAGGAGCAATGTTAATCTTAAACCACCCCAGAGTTCCTGATACTTCCACTTACTGCATGCAGAAGATCCCTGGTTCCGTGTCCCCTGCCTGAAACTCTGGAAAGTCACTGCCAGTCAGTGTTGATCAGGCGTTGCCAGTGCAGTGTTTGTGGAAACTTAGTGTGCCTGCCAATATCTCAGATAGTGCCCGTGAAAGGGCTCCATTCTGGGTTATGCCACACATCCCATGGTAGCCATTTTGTGACTGACACCAAACTACTACTTCTAAATTCCTAATGTGCCCATTGGTCCCCAAAGGCTGGCAAACCTCGGCTTAGACCAGGGGTCAGCAAACTTTTTCAGCAGGGGGCCGGTCCACTGTCCCTCAGACCTTGTGGGGAGCCAGACTATATTTTTTGGGGGGAGGGGGATGAACGAATTCCTATGCCCCACAAATAACCCAGAGATGCATTTTAAATAAAAGGGCATGTTCTACTCATGTAATTCCCAGACCATCCGTGGGCTGGATTTAGAAGGCCATTGGGCCAGATCCCGCCACCGGGCTTTAGTTTGCCTACCCATGGCTTAGACCAGGGGTCAGCAAATTTTTTTAGCAGGGAGCCGGTCCACTGTCCCTCAGATGTTGTTGGGGGTCAGACTATATTTTTTGGGGGGGAAATGAATGAATTCCTATGCCCCACAAATAACCCAGAGATGCATTTTAAATAAAAGGACACATTCTACTCATGTAGAGACACGCTGATTCCCAGACCATCCGCGGGCTGGAATTAGAAGGCAATTGGGCTGGATATGGCCCCTGGGCCTTAGGTTGCCTACCCCTGGATTAGACAATAGGGAGTTAGATGGACCATCACTGGTGGAAAACAGGATGGTGGTGGACCTAGTTCAGGGAACTCGTGGCCCTGCAGATGTTGCCACACTACAACTGCCCTCACCCTTGACTATTGGTCATGTCGACCAGGGTTGATGTAAGTTGTGGGTCCAACAACTTCCATTCCACAAAGAGAGCTGACAGTTAAGTCTGCTTTCCCATCTGCACCTTTCCTCAGAAAAACCTCCTTTCCACACTCCAAGAGTTTTGGCATCCACTCAGGGCACTCCTTTTCCAGGTAGAGCTTGAGGCGTTGAGACCAGGCCAAGTCAATCTCCCACTTCCTCTTGGTAAACTGGGCCGGAACATCCGTCGCTGTCCAGGTGAGGGTCTCCTTGTCAAAGCTGAGGAAGTCTTCCCCGTCATAGCCATATTGGGAATAGCCTCCTCTGCGGCCATCTTCACCAACCTCACAGCCGTACGTCAGCTGCCAAGTGTGGAAGCCTGAAAGAGAAACATCAAGGTCACAGTAGGATATGCTCTTCCAATTTTCAGGATTAAAAATCCTTCTGATTTATGCTGGAAATGTGGGAAAGGAATGTCGGGATCTGCACTCGGCCAAGCTGATAAAGCTCATCTTCCGGAATCGCCCTCCCGACGAAGAATTAACGACCTGAGCCTTTGATGAAAGCTCAGGCACATTCCATTCAGCAGAGAATCCAAAACGGAACGCGGAAGTGATGAGATTTATGGCTACATGCTATGCTTTATTTCTTACTACGCAGACAGCAAAGAAACATCCTCTATGAAAGCAGAGAGCAACTGAAACAAAGGAACAAAAAAGGAAACAGGAAACCAGTAACGTCACATCCGTCTCCCGTGAGACTTCCAACAGCCTGGAAGGCCTCTGGAATGTAAACAGAGTCTTGTGACTCCAAAGCACTGCTTAGTGGCAAACAGAAACTAACAAGGAAGAGTCCTCTGTTTCTGCTAAAAGTTCCGGCAAGGAAAAAGAAAACACTGTTAATTTGGATAAAAGACTGCACCTTTATCCCAAAACTTTCAGAAGGAACTCTCTTGAATGCTGCTCACCTCCACTTTGGTTGTAGTACTTTTGCAGGTACTCCACATCGTTGCGGAACTTCAGTTCAGCAGTCTGTGCTCTCCAAGTGTTTATATTCCATATATGAGGAATATGATTCACAGCATCTTTCATCCATGGGACTCCAGGCACTGCCTGCCTGCTCTGGCTGTCATAGTAAGTAACTCTCTGGTCATCCACATATGCCACCCCAGTGAACTCGAAAAGTCCTCTGCTGGGCTCCCAAACTGCAGTGAACCAGACACGCATGGTGTGAAAGGAGAAGCCTGGAAAGGAAGAATGGCAGGCAAAGTTAGCGAGTCACAGAATCACAGAACTGTTGAGTTGGCAGGGACCTTCATGGTAGCCAACAGTTGCAGGGGGAAAGTCAGGCTGGCTAAAGCTCAGAATGAACTCAGGCTTGCAAGAGAGGTTAAAAATAGTAAAAAAAGGTTTATTTGGCTGTGTCTGAAGTAAGAGGAAGAACAAGCAAGTGGTAGGTCCTCTGCGTGGGGAACACAAAGAAATGTTATTGGGTGACAGAGAAAAGGTGGAACTACTCAACACCTACTTTGCCTCTGTCTTGACCCAAAAGGAACGTGATGCGCAATCTGCTGATAACAGAGTAAATGATGTAAGGAGGGAGCTGTAGCCCAAGACAGGAAAAGAGGTAGTAAGGGAACACCTAGCGAGTTGAAATGAATTCAAATCTCCAGGGCCTGATGAACTGCATCCAAGGGTACTAAAGGAGCTTGCGGATGTAATTTCAGAGCCTTTGTCTATTATCTTTGAGAATTCTTGGAGACCAGGTGAGGTCACTACAGACTGGAGGTGGGCAAATGTCCAAAGCAGCGCACGGAAACGTTGTTTACTTTCCTGCCAGAGTGGTACCTATTTATCTACTTCCTTTGACGTGCTTTTGAACTGCTAGGTGGGCAGGAGCAGGGACCGAGCAACAGGAGCTCACCCCATCACGGGGATTCGAACTGCAGACCTTCCAATCGGCAAGCCCTAGGCTCTGTGGTTTACACCACAGCGCCACCCGTGTCCCTTGAATAAAAGGTAAGAGCATAAAAAACGGTATCAACCATCAGTGCCATATTGGGGGGGGGGTATTGCCCTGGGTGGCGCCTCCAGAGGAGCGCCATTAAGCCTTCCTGCCTGTGTGTGTATGCAAAAGCGCATGATGTGTGTGTGCCAAATTTGCTCTTTGACCCGGGCAAAACAAAGCCTAGTTTTCCCCTTGTTCTATCACCACATCCTTATGATGATCCATAGGGTGGTCAGGTGTGCAGAATACTTTTCAGAAAGGTCAGCGTTTAGGGGATCAACCGGGGAGGTGGGAGGACTGAGGCTCAGCAGCACCCCACCGCCAAATTAAAAACTTCCCTTGCATTTCTAACAGCAGAGCCGTATGTCTGAAATTTCCCGGATTACAGTACCTCGGGTTACAGACGCTTCAGGTTACAGACTCCACTAACCCAGAAATTGTACCTCAGGTTAACAACTTTGCTTCAGGATGAGAACAGAAATCGTGTGGCAGCAGCAGGAGGCCCCATTAGCTAAAGTGGTGCTTCAGGTTAAGAACAGTTTCAGGTTAAGAACGGACCTCCAGAACCAATTAATTTCTTAACCCAAGGTACCACTGTACTATATATTTGGACGCTGGGACAGAAATCCCCTAAATGTCCATGAAATCCCAAAAGTATGGTAAGTGGCGATTTTGACCATTTCGGAGGGGGGGGGGAGAGAGCTCAAGAACCTCAATTTTTAAAGCGATTTTGCAAAAAGAAAAACCTCAACAACTTTGGCCGAAAACGCTCAACAACTTTTCTGTCCGAGTGTACATTTTCTGTACTAAGGCAACCCTGGGTACACGCGGATGATTTTAAGCAGGGCGGGCAGAAGACTATTTAATGCAGCAAAAAGAGGAAAGAGACATTTCGTTGCTGTGAACGCCTTCAAAAGCTCTCGCCGGCTGTGCGCGGGGCCGCTGCTGAGTGTGAGGCTACTGATCGGTAGGGAAAATATATTCAGGGCTCAAAGTGAGTCAAGGCTGTTGCTTAGGGATGGGGCCAGCAGGGCCACCACCACGGCAATCTTCCTCCCTTCTTTTTTTTGCAAACCAAGGCGCGGAAATCCTTTGCATGGGTGTGGGGAACGGTACTCACCTGAGCGGCTTCCCAGCAGGACGGCAACAGCCGCTTCCAGGATCAGGAGCTGCCGCATCTTGGATGGATTGCTGTCGCAAACAGCCTCGTCCGTGCGATCTAGAGCAGCGGCTGATCTAGAGCAAGCTCCGGGATTGGCCCAGAGCAACACATCCGACCAATTAGAAAAATGAGCTCGGGTTTCGGCAGCGGTTGCTGGGCGGACGTCGCCGCGGGAGGCTGCGCGCGGGGCTGCGAAGCGAAAGTGAACTTTTTGGCGATTATGCAAATTCCGGGAAACGCGGAGAAAGGCGGGGGGGGCGGCGCTTGCAATTTTCGGTGTGTGTACGCACATCATTCTTGGCGATCATGTGCAATTGCTGGAGAGGCAAGTCCGGAGTCAGCCTGGCAAGAAAAGGTGGGAAACATTTAGGGAAGTTTTTAATGTTTAATAATAATAATAATAATATTTTTTTATTTATACCCCGCCCTTCCCGTTTCAGAAAACCAGGCTCAGGGCGGCTAACAACAAGTTTAAAACACATAATTGATGCAACAAAAAACAGCACAAAATACAATATAAAAAGTGAATAACAATAAGTTCAGAATTCAAAAATCAATTTAGGGGGAAATGTTTTATTCTGTTTTTAATCTGTTGGGAGCCGCCCAGAGTGGCTGGGGAAACCCAGCCGGATGGGCGGCATATTATTATTATTATTATTATTATTATTATTATTAATTACAACTACAACAATTACCACCCCTGCCAGGTAAAGAGGAGGCGGCTGGGATGGCTCAGCAGTGCCCTCTAGTGTCCCACCTGTGCAACTTCCAGGAAAGGCGCTTGTCGGCCAAAGTAGAGAGAATTGGGAAAAAGGGGGAGAGCACGCGACGGTCCAGCAGCTTTTCTGGGCTCTGTTTGGCTGCTGCTCATAGGAAAGATAGCTTTTTAAAAATAGCTTTTTATTATGATTATTAAACTGTTATTCTTAACCACTTCGAAGTCAGTGACAGGGTTCTGCACCATACCAAATACCAAGCAAAAAGGTAATACAGTGGTACCTCTGGTTAAGAACTTAATTCGTTCTGGAGGTCCATTCTTAACCTGAAACTGTTCTTAACCTGAGGTACCACTTTAGCCTATGGGGCCTCCTGCTGCCGCCGTGTGGCCGACACACAATTTTTGTTCTCATCCTGAAGCAAAGTTCTTAATCCAAGGTACTACCATATTTCTGGGTTAGCGGAGTCTGTAACCTGAAGCGTCTGTAAGCTGAAGTACCACTGTAAATAACAAGAAAAGGAAAAGACGAGCCACGAGTATAAATCAAAACATCTCGGTTCGAAGTGTAAGAAATCCCACCAGATGACATAGCAACGTTCTGGATCCTCCATCACCCTAGAAAAACACAGTTTATTTGTATCCCCCCTCCCCCAAACAATAGCCAAAATCCACAAGTTCTTTTTCCACACAGCCAAAAGCAGATAAGGAAGAAAAAACCTGCAGGGCTGAGCTCCAATGCATAAACATGCCCTGAGTGCACTCTTGCAATGATGTCAAAGATAGCCTCCGCCTTGCTAGGAAACTAAGCCCTCAAAAGAAAGAAGTGCTTTCTGAAGCTCCTTTCCCACCCAGGCTTGGTGAAGGCTTTCCCTTGGAGGAAGCCCTTCAGAGCCTCATGCCCCGCTCCACCCCAGAGGTAATATAATAATAATAATAATAAATTTTATTTATATCCCGCCCTCCCCAGCCGAAGCCGGGCTCAGGGCGGCTAACAACAATAAAACAGTACAAAAGTACAGCATAAACAACAGTCTAAAATCATTCGTTATAAAATTAATTAATTCAAGCCACTGGCAACCATTGGGCCAGAGCTCCGCGAAGATTGCCGAGGGAGGGAGTCAGGCTGTGCCCTGGCCAAAGGCCTGGTGGAACAGCTCTGTCTTGCAGGCCCTGCGGAAAGATGTCGAGTCCCGCAGGGCCCTGGTCTCTTGTGACAGAGTGTTCCACCAGATCGGAGCCACAGCCGAAAAAGCCCTGGCTCTAGTTGAGGCCAGCCTAACTTCTCTGGGGCCTGGGACCTTCAAGATGTTTTTATTCGAAGACCGTAAGTTTCTCTGTGGGGCATTTTGCCTCAGGTGCTGAAACAATGGGCCTCTCCTTCTTCGGTGTTAGGTGCACCTGCTCCATAAACTCAGGGTTGTCGTGTTGGCATCCACCTGTCTCAGGAGACAATGGTGTGCTTTCATGTGAGGTCAGGCTGTTGCATGGTTGCAGTGCTTGCTGTGGCTGTAGAGACTGACACAGGACAGACATGTTTTGTTGCAGCTGGGGCAGATGAGGGTGGTGTTTCTGCTCTCTGTGTTCCTCCCAGCAGTCATTCCTCCTCTGGTCATTGCTAGGGATACTTCTTCTTTGGCAATCCCTCGTAGCCGAGTTAGATTGTCTTCCATAAATACGGTTTTAACAATGAGTCCGTAAGTGACTGTGGAGGCCAATTCTGGATCCAGACGTCCTTCCACAGCGGGGACATAGGTTTTCGGGCGGGAGTTGATCACGGTGTGGATTTGCCGAGCGTGCCTTCCTCTTAGCACATTTCTCCCTTGCATCCTGAGTTGCAGTGTCTTCGAAGCCCATGACACCTTTGGTAAAGGCTGTTCTCCAACTGGAGGACTCTCAGGCCAGGGTTTCCCAATTGCTGGTGTTTATACTACATTTTTAAGGATTTGCCTTGAGGGAGTCTTTAAACCTCTTTTGTTGACCACCAGAATTACGCTTTCCATTTTTAAGTTCGGAATAGAGTAGTTGCTTTGGAAGACGATAATCAGGCAACCGTACAACATGACCAGTCCAACAAAGCTGATGTTGAAGAATCATTGCACAACCTGCCTGTCCCCAGGCCCTGCGGTTGTCTGCAACCCACACAACTGCGTTGATGTTGCTGGCCTTCATGTCTGTTTGCACACATCTTCGTAACGCAAAGTTGGTCTGCCAATGGGATTGGTGCCTGAAGCCAGCTTCTCATAGAGCATATCCTTGGGGATCCTGCCATCTTCCACCCGCCCCAAATAACCCCACATGCACTATTTTATTTAGATCTACTTGTTTTGGGAGAAATCTGTAAGGTTAAAATAACCTGGAAAAAACACGAGGCTTTTACAAATGAAGCTTCTGACTGGAAACTTTGGAAGTGAGCTGGAGACCAGGAGTTCCTCGCAACATGCTTGGTGACAGAGGACCTGCCTTGCTCTGAGACCCCCAGGCATAAGGAGGTATATTAAATCAATCAATCAGTCAGTCAGTCAATCAATAGCATGCAGGAGGCCCCATTTTCAATCTCCAATGGCATCTCCCTGCAGGGCTGTGTGAGATCACTACCTGGAATCCTGGAGAGCCACTGCCAGCGGTCAGATTCAGTATAAGGCAGCTCCCTTTATTCCTTCCTGGTTAACCCTTTATGCCTTTCCTTGTGTGTTGAGTTGCCCAGCATCACACACCCCATTTCCTTTTACCAAGCCAGCTTCAAAGCAGGGAGGAGCTCTGTGCTGCTAAAGAAAAAGATAAAAGGAGAGGGTTTGTGTGTCTGCTCTGTCCTCCTGTTCCCTTTTTACATGCCTACACTACAAAGACAAAGGAATAATTCCTGTTCCATGCTTAACCTGGTTACACGCCCATTGTACTCTACCCAACAACAGCAACCCAGATGAGGTATCATGGCTGCAAAACCCCTTCGCAGCTGGATTGACATGCCGTAGCTATTTGATGCAATATATACTGTGTCTATAGGCACAGGGAGGGGGGGGGAATCTTCCCCCAGATGCCTCCCCTAGCCCTGAATTGGCTAAAAAGGGAAGAGTTGGCCAACAAGAAAAACTGTATTCTGGCAAATTTCCTGTGGCATAAGCCAGTCATTGCCAGCCTGGTGTCCTCTCTATGTTTTGGGCTACCCAGTTTAGCATACGCTCTCATAACACTGGGCTGCTGCTCACTTTGTCAGAGACCTACAGTGAAATCTTGGTTGGAACAGTTATGTAATAGGGAAGAGCTCTTTGTCTGCACTGGCTCCCAGTGGAGTACAGGGTCAGGTTTATGATGCTGGTTTTGACCTTTAAAGCCCTATGCGACCTAGGACCCACGTACCTACAGGACCACCTCTCTTGGTATGCCCCGCGGAGGACCTTAAGGTCCACAAATGACAACATTTTGGAGGTCCCAAGTCGCAAGGTGGTTAGATTGGCCTCAACTAGGGCCAGTACCTTTTCAGTACTGGCCCCGACTTGGTGGGACTCTCTGTCACAAGAGACTAGGGCCCTGCGGGATTTGACACCAAATGTGGAGGAATGTCCCCACCAAAAAAATCCATTGAGAAAGAGTGACCAGTCCCATCAGGACCTACTTGCCCTACATGGAAGGCCACCAAAGTCCCACAGGATCTGAGGAAAGAGGGAGATAGAAAGGCCTATATTGGGCCAGACACTAATACATTTTCCCCAGACTGTGTCAGTGAGAGTGTGGTGTAGAGTGAGCTTAAATAGAGCTAATCCCCTACAGAGCTAATTGCCCCAAATAGTTGCTGACTTTACCCCTACGGGAGAGTCCACCTCTCCTATTCTTGCAGGGTTAGGATTCCCACGTACAGAGAAGGAACAGAATTGTTCTGATTCAGTTGGAGGGCTTTTCTTAGGTTTTTGTGAGCACAGTCCAGGTCAAATGCCCCCCCCCTTACTTTGAATTATGCCAAACTGTGGAGATGCTCTCTGCAAACATATTTTTCTCCAGCTTTGCACCTGCCCCTTGAATCAAACGAAGACTCTGGGAAGTTGCAGCGGCAAAACTTCCACCATTTGCAATTATGAAAATCATAGTGATTGCTTCTTCTGAAAGCTCAAGAGATGTTCCTGGAGATTGCCTAAACATCAGAACCAATAAAAGCATGGTGTTATTCATTGCACAGTTTCTGGAAAGAAAAGTTGGTGCAAATCATATTTCTCATGTCAGAGGCAGGCTGAGTCAAGATTTAGAGCAGGTGAAAGGTTGGGGGAGTGGATATATATTTGCATGGCATTTAAAGGCTCCAAAGCCATTGCTGAAAACCAGCCAGATTGGGACAGTGCAGGACACAGAGGCAGAATGAGATCCCTGCTGATTCTCTTGCTGATTCTCCTGCTAATGCCCCATGGAGTCAGTGGCAACCTGAAGGCAAAATGTACCTTGAAACTGGTCAGGGATCAATCTGAAGCACCCAGTTATTACCGGCCTGGAGATTTTATGATCAGTGGGATCGTATCTCCAACATCTATTGATCAACAACATCCATATGTCTTTTCCGAGACCCCCTTCACAAGGATTAAGCCGTGAGTAATTTTACTACTACCAAGGGAATGGTTCTTGTTTACCAGGAAAATGGCCTGTGGCTCTTCAGAGGCTGCTGGACTATTTCCAAGGTGCCAGCAATTTATTAATCTTATTAGGACAAATAAATTACAATAATTTTGAGGAATGCAATAGTAGACCAATGATAGATTCTGTAAAAATCCCTCTTAGCTAAATATATTCTTCTCCATTCCAGCCCCATTTCCCCTTTGTGTCATGTATTTTTCAATTACAGTGGTACCTTGGGTTAAGTACTTAATTCGTTCCGGAGGTCTGTTCTTAACCTTAAACTGTTCTTAACCTGAAGCACCACTTTAGCTAATGGGGTGTCCTGCTGCTGCTGTGCCACCGGAGCACAATTTCTGTTCTCATCCTGAAGCAAAGTTCTTAACCTGAGGTAATATTTCTGGGTTAGCGGAGTCTGTAACCTGAAGCGTATGTAACCTGAAGCGTATGTAACCCGAGGTACCACTGTATAAGGTTTAGGACAGAATTCTCTTCTTGCCAAAGAGCAGGGAAACCATGCTTTAAATGAAACAATCTAGTCCTGGGGATCTTCCTCAGTAGAGGAGTCTCCAAACTATGAACTGTTCAAATTTATCACACAGGTTTCATTCCTAAATAAATATGTATTGATGAGCTTGGTGATTCTTCATCTGCACTCAAATTGCACCAAAGTGCCAGTCCTTTTTAAAGAACACTTGAGTAATTTTTCACACACTCACTTTGAAGTAGCCAAGGCCACTGAAAGAACAGCAGCCCTCACATCAATTTCCTAGTATTTCATGAACTTTTAAATTGATTAATTTTTTGCAGGTGGATATTTAAGTCCTACTGGTACGTCTTGTCCTTCTTGTTCACCATCCAGGAGATCAACCAGGATCCCAGGCTCTTACCCAACATCACCCTGGGCTACAACCTCTATGATAACTATTTGGATGAGAGGATGACTACTGCTGCCATGCTAGACTTGCTTGGAGGCGGGAATAGCAATGTCCCAAACTATATCTGTGGAAGACAGAATAACCTGCTGGCTGTTCTTGAAGGGGCCGATTCTGTCATCTCAAAAGAGATTTCAGCCATGTCAGCCATCTACAAAATCCCACAGGTATGAAGGGAGGACAAGGGGAGATGGAAGATATTTGTCCTTTCAGCTTAATAAAGATGTTCCTTATCATGAAGGTACAGCAAAATACTAATCTCTTCTTTCTCTGACTAGATCAGCTATGGTTTCACTAGGCAAGTTCTTGAAGTTGAAACCCAGTCCCCTTTTGTTTATCGGATGGTCCCCAAGGAAGAAGCTCAGTACCCAGGGATTGTCATGTTGCTCTTGCATTTTGGATGGACGTGGGTTGGCCTCTTCGCTCCGGATGATGACAGTGGAGAAAGGTTTGTGCGCACCTTGGTGCCTCTGATGATCAGCAAAGGGATTTGTGTTGCTTTGTCAAAAAAAGTAACTCAGATAGATCTATATGACATGCTTTCCCCAAGCGAACCATTTTTCATCTGGAGACAAGTCAGCGTATTTGTTTACTATGTACCTGCTTACATGAGATTGGGACTAATCGTTGCACTACAGGTGCGACATGGGAAACAAATTGGGCCCAAAGTCTGGATCACAACCCCTTTTCAAGACATGAACTTGAACTTGTCTATTCATCCTGATGCCTTTCAGCATATCCATGGATCTTTGTCTTTTGTAATGAAGTTCAAGATAAGAAAGACACATCAAAACTACAAACCAGATTCCTACCTCCTTAGGCAGTTTTGGAAGGAAGCATTTCATTGTTTATATTCAAAGCATGTGTTGGCCGCGAAAGGTCGGGCAAGATGCACAGAGAAGCAGAAACTGGAAAAACTGCCTCAAGAGGAGCTGGAGAGAGCCGTGTCTCAGGACAGCTCCACCACTTTCTTTAGTGTTCAAACTGTGGCACATGCCTTAAATGTTGCACATTCATCTAGATCAAAGCTGATGGCGCTGGTGGGTGAAAGAGACAAAAGGCTAGAGCCATGGCAGGTATTTCCTCCACCTTTCTGCAAATGGTAACCCCTTGTCCCAAATTTAGCAGTGAGCAAAAATGTTTCCTATCAGGATTCTAGATTATGTGGCAACCATTATGAGGGCTCCCTTCAGATGTTTGTGCAAGGAAGAGGAGCTACTCAGTATAGTCAAATGTCCAACTCATGTGCTGATATTGAAAGTGGCTCACACCTGTGAAAGTCTTCTCTGCAGTGGCCCCCGTACTGTGGAATAATATTCACTTGAGATAAATTGGACAACTGTGGCAATGGCATTATGTCAGCTGGCTAAAATATACGACATTCCCAATGACTTGTTTTTAGAACTGCCTCTGTTGGGCTTTCTGGATATCTGTTGTGTTTTTTATACTTCGTTGGAAAGCACTCAGAGTGGCTGGGGTACAAGTAATAAATTGTTGGTTTTGTTGTTAATGGTCTTTGCTTGAATTAACAGTTTTATCAGTAGAATAGAATGGATATGATTTGTGGCTGACATTAGATGTGCACCGGCCCTAAATAATAACAGCTGTTGTAGAATTAAAAAACAGCAACACCTCATTCACCAAAAGCTCTTTTATTTTGAGAGCTCAGGAGTTCATTTACTTGCGTGAGAGTCAAGATGGTCTCTGAGCTCATACAGTACAAGAATATGCATGTAAAATTTCAACACGCACATGTAAACTTCCCCAATTTTGCAGTGGAAAAGTACAAGTTAGTTTTGACATGCAGCAGCAGGTCTAAATAAAATTATTTGCACTTTAGTGTTAGTTTGCAAGGAACCAACTTGCAGTTACACGTGAAGGCATAACATTAGGAAACTTTTGTTCCAAAGCTTGCAGACAGCTGCACCCTTAGTTCAGGCCAACTTGCTTTTCATTTTAACTGTGGCAGAGTTCATAACTTTAAATCATGGGTAGGCAAACTAAGGCCTGGGGGCCGAATCCGGCCCAATCACCTTCTAAATCCGGCCCGCGGACAGTCCAGGAATCAGTGTGCTTTTACATGAGTAGAATGTGTGCTTTTATTTAAAATGCATCTTTGGGTTATTTGTGGGGCATACAAATTCATTCATTCCCCCCCCCCAAAAAAAATATAGTCCGGCCCCCCACAAGGTCTGAGAGACAGTGGACCAGCCCCCTGCTGAAAACGTTTGCTGACCCCTGCTTTAAATTCTGAACCAAACTTACTGATTTATCTGACAAAGCTGAAAGCAAGCAGGACTGAGATATCCAACACACTTTCGTATTTTCTTATTGCTGGTGTTTTTTCACTGTTATTGCAGCTTCACCCTTTCCTAAGAGAAGTCCAAAGCTCAAACACTTCCATGGGCAGACTGTGTTTGGATGAGAATGGGGAGCAGGCAGGCAACTATGACATTGAGAACTGGGTGATGTTTCCCAATGCGTCTAGCACTCGAGTGAAAATTGGGAGTGTTGAGAGAGAGGCGTCCACTGGCATAAAATTCACCATAAACCCCGGAGCCATTGAGTGGCCCAAACAGTTCAACAAGGTAGTGAACGTAACAGAGTGGAAAGTTAGGAAGGTTCATGCTCTTCTTTCGCACAACTGTTACAAAACAGCCTTGTAAGGTGGACCAATTGGACCAATTGTATCTTAACTACCCAGCAATAGTTGCCTCTACCAATCCCTCTTGCCACAGCCCAGATGGCAGGGGAACCCAAGATATTCAAAGAAATCCTAGAGTTTGGGGATCCTGAGAAAACACATCCTGTGTTTATCAGTTCACATGAGGTGTAATAATAATAATAATAATAATAATAATAATAATAATAATTTATTATTTATACCCCGCCCATCCGGCTGGGTTTCCCCAGCCACTCCGGGCAGCTTGAAACAGAATACTAAAATACAATAACCTATTAAACATTAAAAGCTTCCCTAAACAGGGCTGTCTTCAGATGTCTTCTAAAAGTTTGGTATTTATTTTTCTCTTTCACATCTGGTGGGAGGGCGTTCCACAGGGCGGGTGCCACTACCGAGAAGGCCCTCCACCTGGTTCCCTGTAACTTGGCTTCTCGCAGCGAGGGAACCGCCAGAAGGCCCTCGACACTGGACCTCAGTGTCTGGGCGGAATGATGGGGGTGGAGACGCTCCTTCAGGTATACTGGGCCGAGGCCGTTTAGGGCTTAAACGTCAGCACCAACACTTTGAATTGTGTTCGGAAACGTACTGGGAGCCAGTGAAGGTCTTTCAAGACCAGTGTTATATAGTCTCAGCGGCCGCTCCCAGTCACCAGTCTAGCTGCCGCATTCTGGATTAGTTGCAGTAGTCCAAGCGAGAGATAACTAGAGCATGCACCACTCTGATGAGACAGTCTGCGGCCTGCAGGACCCAGCTCTCTCTCCCAGAGATCAGAGTAGCTGGCTTGTCTCCATCTTCTTTTTGTTATGTTCTGTCTTCTGCCTTGAGCCTACATTTGTATTAAAAGGTGGAATAAAAATGCTGAAACAAGCAAGCAGGTACACCACAGTGGTATACCTCTGATGCTGTTTTGCATTAAAAGTGCTTCCTTGATAAAAAGAAGAAGTGGGTGTGGTCAGTGGGTCCTTTCCAGACTATGAATGAATTCCATACACAAATGCTTCCAGCACTTTCCCTTTGGTGTACCTTCTTCTCTTTATGCTTAGACTGTGCCTCGCTCCAGGTGTACCAAAAGCTGTCAGCCTGGATACGCCAAGGTGGTTCAGGAAGGAGAGCCGGTTTGCTGCTATGCTTGTGCTCCGTGTACGGAAGGGACGATCTCCTCTCAGGAAGGTGGGTGACTTCAAGGGTGTTCCTTGAGATGATAGAAACAGGGTGGAGAATCACTCTGAGAAAGCTTGTGTTCCACATATATCTCTGGAGGACAAGCAGTTACAAGTGAAAATGTTTTTTTAAAAGGAAAAAATTTTTTGCCACTCTTTCCCTATTACACAAACTTATTTCCTGACCTTTCCCACATCAGCATCTCTCCCCCCCCAAAGGTAGTACAGTGGTACCTCAGGTTAAGAACTTAATTCGTTCTGGAGGTCTGTTCTTAACCTGAAACTGTTCTTAAGCTGAGGTACCACTTTAGCTAATGGGGCCTCCTGCTGCTGTCACGCCGTGTGATTTCTGTTCTCATCCTGAAGCAAAGTTCTTAACCCGAGGTACTACCGTATTTCTGGGTTAGCGGTGTCTGTAACCTGAAGCGTCTGTAACCTGAAGCGTCTGTAACCCGAGGTACACTGCAGAACACAGATGGTTATGGATGGTTTTTCTCCTCCGCAGATGCAGAACTTTGCACCAAATGCCAAGAAGATCAACATCCGAACAAAGGCCATGATCAATGTATCCCTAAGAATATCTCTTTCCTGGCTTATGAAGAACAGTTGGGGATCATCTTAGTTTCCACTGCCCTGTTCTTATCTTTAACAACAGGCATTGTGTTTGGAATTTTCATTAAATACAAGGAAACTCCCCTAGTCAAAGCCAACAACAGGGACCTCTCCTACATCCTCCTCATCTCCCTACTACTCTCCTTTTTGTCCTCCTTCCTCTTCATTGGCCAGCCAAGGAAAGCAACCTGCCTTCTCCAACAAATGGCCTTCAGCATCATCTTCTCTATTGCTATTTCTTCTGTCTTGGCAAAAACCATCACTGTGGTTCTGGCCTTCCTGGCCACCAAGCCAGGGAACAGGATGAGGAGATGGCTGGGGAAGGGTCTGGCCAACAACATAGTCATTTCCTGTTCGAGTGTCCAAGTTCTCATCTGCATCCTATGGCTGGGACTGTCTCCCCCATTCCCTGACTCTGATATGCACTCCCAGCCTGGGGAGATCATCCTGCAATGCAACGAAGGGTCTACCGCCATGTTCTATGGTGCCCTTGGCTACATGGGCTTCTTGGCTGCCATCTGCTTCACAGTGGCTTTCCTGGCCAGGAAGCTGCCTGGGGCCTTCAATGAAGCCAAGCTGATCACCTTCAGCATGCTGGTCTTCTGCAGTGTTTGGGTGTCCTTTGTTCCCACCTACCTGAGCACCAAGGGGAAATACATGGTAGCCGTGCAGATCTTCTCTATGTTGGCCTCCAGTGCTGGGCTTCTGGGATGTATCTTCATCCCCAAATGCTATATTATCATGCTGAGGTCTGATCTGAATACAAAGGAGCACCTGGTAACAAAAACTTAGGATAGCTTCTGTTAGGATTGTAACAATCCTGTGTTATGCTAATTATGATCCTGGAGTGTTGTGTTTCATCATTGGACTTTTTGGGGTAAAATTGGGGATTTTTGAGTAAGTTTGTTTCATTTGGAGCTGGGATTTCTGGATTAACCCTGAGCCTCTGAAAATGCAGTTCTTTCTCTTAGTGACTGTTAGCTGCCTGAGAGTCACAGCCCCTTATCTGGCCCATAATCCCTTGTTATATGTTGAAGGCTGTGTGTGGCAGTATTATTTATACCCACATGAATAAGAAGGAACATCTTTCAGCTGTCCCTGTCATGGCGTTCCATCTTCTGACTGAGTTCTTGAAAGTTAAAGCAACCCTACCCTGAGATCGGCTTAGTGTAGACACTGCTTTCACTTTCAGGTACTGCAGTTGGTCAGTCTTTTGTGGTTATTGCTCTTTGCCTTCTGTGTGGTCCTGGATCTCATCTAGCCATTTCAGTTTATGTGTGTGTGTCAGTGACTTGGTGGCAGGGGTGGAGCTACCGGCACCGGCACCTGAAGCGGCGCAGGGTCAGGGCTAGCCACCCGCATAGCAAGCATTCCTAGCTGCCCGCCGCCCGTGCGGAGAGTGCGGGGGTGCGTCGCTAGCCACCCATGTGGAGAACGTTGGGAGGGGCACCACTAGCCGCCCGTGGCAGCACTGTCCCTAGCAGCCTGCCGCTGGTGCAGCGAGCATGGGTTGGGGTTGGTGGTGGCATGGCGATGTCACCCGCCCTCACCACTGACACCCGGTGTGCACCACACCCCCAAAACCTGCCTTCCTCCGCCAGTGCTTGGTGGTAAAGTATCAATCCTAAATTAACCCTAGCTGTCTGTGGCGATCACACAGGGTCCCCGGACGCTTCACCGTCTATTGATCCCTGTGCCACCACTTTATTTCTCGCTGCCACCACCCAGGCCCTACCTGGTACAATACTGAGTCCAATCAGGGTTAAATTGGAACATAAACTTCTGTTTATTTATTGCAGTTTAACAAGCATGCGGTTTCATAAACGGTATCAGTCCATTACAATCATGGGGTGCCTATCCAGACTTATAACTTCTGCTACCTGCTCTCACTCACTAAACCACCTCTCAGATATTTACTTGTCTGCCTAGCCCCTAACTGTTCCTGACTCAGCCTATTTCACTACACTAACTCAACCTCCCCACAGACTCTCTCCCAATTCACTCCCACTCCAACCAACCACCCAACTCCCAACAAACTCCTCTCTTCGCCCCTCCCAGAGCTGGTTTTATAGTCCCTCTGACTCCACCCCCCCGGGTTCTGATTGGGTAACTTGCTTAACTATTTCACCTCCAGCACTCTCATATGTTAATGTCACACTGACACCGCCTGCGCGCGGCAGCATCATCCCTAGCAGCCCGCTGCCCATGCAGCGAGCATGGGGTGGGGTTAGTGGTGGCGTGGCAATGTCACCCACCCTCAGCGCTGACACCCGGTGTGAACCGCACCCCCTGCACTCACCTTCCTCCGCCAGTGCTTGGTGGTAAACTATCAATCCTAAATTAACCTTTATAGATTTCTCTGTGTGTACACAACTAAACGTCCCTAAATTCTCAAATAAACTTTGATATATTTATTGGGTAACAGGATCTTTGTATTGCTGCTCTTTTACGGTCTTAAGAAACCTATGTTAATAAACTGTACTGAGGGTTAAAAAGAAGAGTGGACTGCGTTGCTGGCTCTTAAGGAGTAATGTGTTGCCTTGTGATTTGTAACTATTTTAAGCCTGTTGAAACTCATTATTGGGCTGGAAAGCAAATTCACTTCTACTCCACACAAGGCCCAGATCAGGGATTCTATTTGCAGCAACTCCAACAAGGACTTCCTGGGAATGAAGAGTGATCTACTCGTCGCTTAATATGCCACAAGATATTGCCTGGTGAAAAAGTTGCCGAGGCTCAAGGAGAATCAGAAAGGGGATCTGAATAAAGGGGTGTATTAAACAAAGGTATGAAAGGTTTGAAAGGATTGTAGAGTTGGAAGGGAACCCAGGGGCCATATAGCCCTGTGCACTGCAATGCATAAATTTTTCAGTGCAGGCATTTTGCAGCAACAGCAGAAACTTATGTTTAGAAACGGGAAATTGCTCAGAGTTATTTCACTCGCAGAACAACAGCTGAAAAGTTTTATCAAATAGTGGTGTCTCCAGAGGCTGGACATCAGATGCTCAAACTATCTCATGATCAGTCAGGACACTGAGGAATTGTGTGTGTGTAGGCTCTCAGCAGTATAGTGCATATTTTCCCAGGCACAGTGCAAGAAATTACCTTGCCTTGCTCTTGATTCTGATGTTTAGTTGATTGGTTTCACAGGCAATCTTTGGTCAAATCTCTGGAGCTTTGGCAGGAATAAGAATAATTGTAAGGGGGAGACGTGTCACCTTGGCAACATCCTGGAGTCTCTGTGTGGCTTGAGGGACATGTGCAGAGTTGGAGGAAAACATGTTTACGAGAACTTAAGAAGTGGCTCCCTGCTCTTAGAGTTGGTCAGAGCGGGGAGAAAATTCTGTGTGGCCTTTAACTGACCAGAACCAAAATATTATTTTAGGGTGTATGCACATACAGACACATTGCATGGTTATTTCTGAATATTGCGAGCTTCTGAAATTACATTTTGCTGCAGGGGTTAGCAAAATTTTCAGACTGAAAGCCACATTTCCTTCTGGACAACCTTCAGGTGACCCCATGACAGTGGTGGGCAGGGAAAGAAGTGGGCAGAACAACTCATGAAAATTTTACCTTTCTTCGCTAGTCTAGTTTCCACACACACACGGTTCTCTACCCTGAAGTCATCCACACAAGGAAGAGGCATTCTCAGAGTTCAAGGCTAAAACACTTTGGGAGGGAACAAAACAGGGCCAATAGGGGGCATGTCTAGAATGGGTGTGGGCTAGGGAGAGTACTGAGGGGCCAGAGAAGAGACACTTGGAGGGCCATATTAAGCTTCTAGGTCTGAGATCTCAAGGGCAGGAAGAGCCAGTGTGGTGTAGTGGTTAAGAGCGGTATTCACCTAATCTGGTGAACCGGGTTCGCATCTCCGCTCCTCCACATGCATCTGCTGGGTGACCTTGGGCCAGTCACACTTCTCTGAAGTCTCTCAGCCTCACTCACCTCACAGAGTGTTTGTTGTGGGGGAGGAAGGAAAAGGAGAATGTTAGCTGCTTTGAGACTCCTTCGGGTAGTGATAAAGCAGGATATCAAATTCAAACTCCTCCTCCTCCTCTTCTTCTCCTTCTTTTTCTTCTTATTTTCTGCAGCCTCACTCCCATTCCCGACCTTCCCAATTGCACCTCTTGATCAGCTGCTTTTGTTGGTAAAGTAGGATGCCAGAAAAAAAAAAATCCATTCTCCACCTAATAGCATTACCTGTAGGCTCTTCACAAACATCGATTGGAAAGACAACACACGAGGACCCCCAATGGATCAGACGCAAGGCCTAGCCAGTGCAGTATTCTGTTGTCACAGGGCGTGAAGGCAATAGCATTCTCCCACTTCTCTTCCAAGCAACCAGTATTCATAAGCATATTGCCTCTGTCACACAACACACAATCAAAATCAAAACAGAGGCAACCCAATAACACCCCCCAACAAAAAGTGTTTTTTAAAAAATATATGGTCTTTTTTTATTTTCAAAGGTATAAATAACATGAAAGAAAAAAGAGAGAAAAAGAATAGTTACATAATAATATAAAAAAATCCACACATCAAGATTACCCTGAATCACTTGACTTCCCCCCATCCCCCCCATCAAATTCCGATTGATAAAAAAAGAAGAAGAGGCTTTGCAACTGTATTATGAGGCAGCTAGTGTATGTTGGTTAAAGGAATGGATTTTCTTGGAAAATGCATATATTTTAGATTTGGAAGGCCATAATTTAAAGTTTGGCTGGCAAGCATGTCTTTGGTATGGGAAAGCAAAGATTTATAAAAGCTTTATGATCCACATCATTAGGAGGAATCTGTATAGAGTCTGGGAGAAATATAAAAAATGTTGGAAGGGATAACACCTTTATGTTTATCCCCCATTGAAGCAATCACAATCAAGATAATTAATATAGATAGGAAATGGGTGACTTATAGAGACTTATTGGAATTTACAGGTAGTGAACCCAGGTTGAAACCAGTGGAAGAAGTAAGGAGCGTAGTTACGGATTGGTTTCTGATTTGATCCCGGAATGCCCCTCTTTTCCTTAGGACATGGATAGGCAAACTAAGACCCGGGGGCCGGATCTGGCCCAATCACCTTCTAAATCCAGCCTGCGGACAGTCCGGGAATCAGTGTGTTTTTACATGAGTAGAATGTGTCCTTTTATTTAAAATGCATCTCTGGGTTATTTGTGGGGCATTGGAATTTGTTCATCCCCCCCCCCAAAAAAACCATTATAGTCCGGCCCCCCACAAGGTCTGAGGGAATGTGGACCAGCCCCCTGCTGAAAACATTTGCTGACCCCTGCCTTAGGATGTCCCTGAAAGCCTCAAGAATTACCGCCCCATATCGCTGCTTAATGTGGATTATAAAATTTTTGCAGATATTTTGGCTAAAAGATTAAAAAAGGTGTTAGTAGAAGAAATTCATAAAGACCAAGCGGGCTTTCTCCCGGGCAAACATTTGTCTGACAATATGAGGAATATAATTAATATTCTAGAAAAACTTCAAGTGAATATCAATACTAAGGCAGTCTTGATATTTGTGGACGCAGAGAAAGCTTTTGACAACATTTCTTGGGGCTTTATGAAGAAGAATCTACAGGGGATTGGGGTAGGCCAAGGTTTTGAAAATGGTATAGGTGCAATTTATTCAGAACAAAAGGCAAAATTAATTGTGAACAATGTAGTGACAGAAGAGTTTAAGATTGAGAAAGGGACACGACAAGGTTGCCCAATTTCTCCATTGCTCTTTATATCGGTCCTTGAGGTTTTGTTAAATATGATCAGAAAGGACCAAGAGGTTAAAGGTATACAAGTGGGAGCTAAACAGTACAAATTGAAAGTATTTGCTGATGACTTAGTATTGACTTTACAGGAGCCAGAATCTAGTACTAAAAGGGTGTTGGAACTGATTCAAGAATTCGGACAGGTAGCAGGTTTTAAGTTGAACAAGATGAAAACCAAGGTTTTAGAGAAAAACTTAACTGTGTATGAGAGAGAGAAGTTTCAGGAGGAGACAGGACTAACATTGGTTAAGAAAGTGAAATATTTGGGGGTTAACATGACTGCTAAAAATGTGAATTTATTTAAGGATAATTATGAAAAATGTTGGATAGAAGTGAAAAAGGATTTAGAAATATGGACAAATTTGAAGTTATCATTGTTAGGCCGAATTGCTGTGATAAAAATGAATGTGCTGCCAAGGATGCTGTTTCTGTTTCAAACATTGCAAATTTTGGATAAGATGGATTGTTTCAAGAAGTGGCAGAAAGATATTTCTAGATTTGTCTGGCAGGGCAAGAAGCCTCGAATAAAATTTAAGATACTAACTGACGCCAAAGAAAGAGGTGGATTTGCCCTGCCAGACCTTAAACTTTATTATGAATCAGCTGCTTTTTGCTGGCTGGGAGAATGGCTGCTTCTTGAAAACACTGACGTGTTGGACCTAGAAGGTTTCAATAATGTATTTGCTTGGCATGCATACTTGTGGTATGATAAGGTAAAAGCACATAAAGCGTTTAAAAATCATATTGTTAGAAAAGCATTGTTTAATGTCTGGATAAGATATAAGGACTTGTTAGAAAAGAAAACCCCAAGATGGTTGTCACCAATGGAAGCGAAGGCACAGAAAAAACTCAATATGGAGGCCAAATGGCCGAAATATTGGAAAATTCTGGAACAAGATGGAGACAGATTAAAATTGCAGAGCTTTGAAAAATTGAAAAACAGAGTGAGAGATTGGCTCCATTATTATCAAATAATGGAGGCATACAATCTGGACAAAAACGTTGGTTTCCAGGTGGAAAAATCAAAATTGGAAACAGAATTGTTAGAACCAAAAATTAAGAATTTGTCAAGAATGTATAACTTGCTGTTGAAATGGAACACTCAGGATGAAATGGTGAAATCAGCTATGATTAAATGGGCACAAGATGTTGGACATAACATAATGATGGCTGACTGGGAACAGTTATGGACCACAGGTATGAAATTCACGGCATGAAAATTTAATGAAAATTTAATGAAAATTTAATTTAAAATTTAATTTAAAATTTAATGAAAATGATTTATAGGTGGTACATGACACCAGTCAAGCTTGAAAAAAATTACCATTTGCCCGACAATAAATGTTGGAAATGTAATGAGACTGAAGGTACATTTTTTCACCTTTGGTGGACATGCCCAAGGATTAAGACATTCTGGGAGATGATTTATAACGAAATGAAAAAGGTATTCAAATATACCTTCCTGAAGAAACCAGAGGCCTTTCTCCTGGGCATGGTCGGCCAATTGGTGCCAAAGAAGGATAGAACTTTTTTTATGTATGCAACTACAGCAGCAAGAATACTCATCGCGAAGTATTGGAAGATACAAGATTTACCCACCCGGGAAGAATGGCAGATGAAGTTGATGGACTATATGGAATTGGCGGAAATGACTGGCAGAATCCGAGACCAGGGAGAAGAGTCGGTGGAAGAAGATTGGAAAAAATTTAA